TTAAAGTATTTAGTATTGTCATCGTGCTTTAGGAGATGGCATATGAATCGAGCATAATGCTTAGTATCGTCAATTTCTATGATGAATGGTATGGGCTAGGCAATTATGACACCCCTATAATTCAAGAAGATGGAATTCATAGTCCAAGAGTTAGTGTGGAAACCTTTGGCTAACTAATTCCTCATAATTGGAAAGCAAAGCTATTTTAGTTACACGGGTTAGTCTTATACGTTAATAGCCCTTAGATTCAATCAAAAGATATAAAGAGAGTAAAAAGGTTGGATGCATGATCATGCATAACATATATAATTGATGTATATGTTTAAGCATCTAGTGATCATTAATAGTGAATTCATATTACACATGTTCTTAATTGTCACTCATTCATCTACTTGAATTTATGTGCTTAGATATTGAGATTTTATATCTCACTCCTATTGTTTAATATCTTTTTAGGAGACTCTTAGGATAACAGCAACAGGGAAGCATCAAGTGCTAGTGACACTTGACTTTCATAATAATGTCTCTAGTAGTTATATGTGCAAAAGAAATATTTAATTTCCAGCCTAAGAGTCTTGCACATGTTGACTATTTATCACTTGCATTTAGCCTAATTGTTGACATAGGAATTTTTGGCATTGGCCTTATTAGGGTAATGTAGTGTGGGTTTCATTTTGAAGTTGTTATTTCAAAGAATTATTTAATGCCTCTTATTTGATTATGTTTGTGGGAGGTGAATTATTGAATGCTAGATGATTTCAACACATGAAAGTTTTATATGGTTTGGTTTGTTGTGGGGGGCTAATGGCTAAAGGTTGAGGGAATGGACACTTAGTTGAAGTTTGATCCACACTTGTTCTGGTATGAACACATACATGAATCAACCTTCCTTGTGCACCATAGGACATAGTGAATCCAAATCAAGCTTGAGTTACAGCTGGAACTCACTTTAATTAGACTTCAAAAGCATTACTTAATGTAACATCCTAAATTTTATTTAGGGATTAATGGTGAAACTTGTGGACAATTTGGGTAATTTAATTTGAGGAATAATTTTTACATGAGGAAATATGAGTGCTTAAGGATTAATTGAGAAAATGTGTGTATTTTAGGATTAAATTGAAGAAGCATGTATTTTGAGGATTTAACTGAGGATATATGTTGGTTGAAGCTTATAAATGTTAATTAATTATTTAGGCTCTTAATTATAGTTTAAATTGGGCTTAAGATCATGTGCTAGGGTTATTTTTAGGTTCAAAATAGTTATTAGAATAGTTTGGGCCCAAATTATTAGGCCTAAGTGAGAGTTTTCTGCACTGTACTATATGTTGCAGCATTAAGCATATGGCATGTATATGCCATAACATACAACGCGTTTTTAACATTTATAATTCTGTTCAAAAAACAGAACAAAAATAAGGGTTTTTTTTGTGAGGGAAGGTGCAAAAATAGTAGGCTTTGTTAAGGTTTGGTCCTAGGCTCTATTCAGGTTTGGTCCTAAGCTTTGATTGTACAAAAATTTATGCTCCCAACTAGTTAAGGTAATTTATTTAATCACTATCCTATCATCCGATATTCCTTTTGAGCTAGATATTGTGATAGGCATAGCTAGAGTTTCATTTTTAAAGATACTTAACCCTTGAGTTCAAATCTAACAGATATTTTGAGATTATATAAGTGTTGTTTAAATAGTTTTAATGTTGTTTTGTGACAATGGGGTGATTAAATCTGAAAACCCTAGGTTATTAAGGGATGATTAGTGATTATTTGTGTGTTTGGGGGTTAAATTTACATTCAAGAGGTGTAATGAGGATTAGTATGACTAAGATTTATGATTAAAGTGTATGAAAGTGCATTAGGATTGTGAGATTAATTAACTCAACCCTAAGATTAGGATGTGATTAGTGCGTAAACACGTGGATTAGCTATAATTAGCATTATGTTAACAATAATTAGTGTCACATTTTATATAAATTACGGTGTTGATACCGTTGGTGGTGCTAGTTCGCTTGTTCAAGGTGCTCAAATAATAAGGAGCAAAGGTAACTATTGTTAATGTGTGATGAAAGGTGTGTGTGTGTGATTGATTATGTGAAATTTGTTTGTCTTTAGCAAATTAAATTGTGTTTGGAAAATATATTATAGTGTTTGAAAAATTATTTCCAAGTGGGATGAAGTATATAAATTCTATGCTTGGCATAATCATTGTTCAGAAATATAAAATTGTTCGGTTATATTTTTTTGTTTGGAAATTGCAATATGCATGACTTGTCATGTTTTCAAAAAAGTGTGGACCTCATTATCATTTGACATTGATTAATATTATAGGGTTAAAGTGCTTGTTTACCCTTAAATATTTTTCAGGAGTATTGGACACTCTAAAGTCTTATTAAAATAAAATATATTTATTTATTTTAATAAAATATTGTTAAAATATTAAATATTTTTATATTTAATAATTTAAATATTATTATTTATTAATATTAATTCAAAATTGATAAATTATCATTTAAATATTAAAAGCTCAACTAGTTTTTCATAAATTTATAAGTGGCTTGTAAATTAAAATAATATGCTAAATTATAAGTCTTCCTTAAGAATTAAATCCTCATTTAGAAATTTGCATATCATAAAATTTGATATATAAATTGTATGTGAAGATTTTAAATAATAATGTTTATAAATAAATTACAAAAAATAACCTTATAAAAAAATTAATATTATTTAAATCTCTTAAATTTTCTCTGTCTTTCTCTATAATTTGATTGGTTAATTAATAATTGAATTAACAAATATTTAATAAAGGAGCGATATTGTTTCATTTTTAATTAATATATTTTTAGTAAAGTTGAAAAGTTTTAATCTTCTATTGTTGTTTTGAAGTTTCATTATTCTTTCTCTTTGTTTTATTCCATCCAATATTTTCAAGAATAAACTAGATATTGAACTAAAAATGTTAGCGGTTGACGATTCACATGATTCAATTGGGTTGGACTAATAGTCAAACCAGTGAAATAATAATTAAATTAAAAAAATTATATATGTATATAATAATTTAAATATAAGAAATAAACATAAAATTGCTACTCAACTTAAGAATAAAACCAAATATTTTAAATTTATCATGAGTTAACAAGTCATATGATACAATATAACGTTAAATGATTACAAAAATTGGTCATTTTAAAAAAATTGATAAAAAAAAGAACTTTCCAAACAATCTGATTTTTGAAAACACCCAAAATGATTTTTACATGTTGACTAAGCTGAAATTTAGACTAATCGACAATCAGACTAGTCCAACCATCTAGTCCGATCTAGTCTAATTTTTTAATCATTGATTCCATCCCTTCTTTTTCTTTACACTTCATTACTAGGCCATTTTTTTTTTTGAAAAAGTGACAATAAAATCTCACTGAAATATATAAATAACCAAGTCCCTCGAAATACCATAATTCCTCTCAAGTCTTTAAGCACCTTTCTAACATTATTGATTTAGGTTAAGTAACTAAATTTCCCCTCATTTAAAATAAACAATTTCAATCACAACTTTTGTTTGAACAATTGCAATTTTTATTTTGTGAATCACAAAAATTAAATAAGAAATTGTAATTTTTCATATGAAATTTCTTTTATCATTGAAGTTCAAGTTTTGAAAATGACCAATTACAACTTTTCTTTAAACAGTCACAACTTTTATTATATGAATTATAAAAATAGAACAAGAAATCACAATTTTACACTTGAAACTTCTTTTATCATTAAAGTTTAAGTTTTGAAAATAACTAGTCATAGCTTTTATTTAATTAATCACAACTTTTATTTTATAAATCACAAATATTAAATAAAAAATCATAACTTCTCACGTGAAATTTCTTTTATTATTGAAGTTCAAGTTCTAAAAATTACTAGTCACAACTTTTGTTCAAACAATTATAACTTTTATTTTATAAATTATAAATATTGAACAAAAAATCACAACTTCCCACATGAAATTTTTTAAACAAGAAAAAATTTAGTTATTTAACATAAAATTATTAACGCCAAAAAGGTGCCTAGAGACTTAAGAGAAATTATAACATTTTGAGGGACCTGATTTTCATTTATACATTTTGGTAGGATTTTATTGTTACTTCTCTTTCTTTTTTGCTATCTCTATCTATCAACTAAATCCATATGGATTCAATAAACATTTCTCTGTTTTAAATTAATATATTTTTAACCTAGTTAAAAAGTTCTAAACTTTTCCTCCTTCAAATAAGTTTTGAGGAAGTGTTATAATTTATCATATTATTTTAATTTGCAAATCACCTATAAATTTTTAAAAAATTAACTGAGCTGTTAATATTTAAAAGATAATTTCTAAATTTTGGATGAATATTTATAAATAATAATATTTAAATTATACAATAGTAAAATATTTAATATTTTAATAAAATTTTAATAAAAGAAATATTTATTAAATTGTATTTTAATAAGATTTCAAGGCATTCAACATTCTTAAAAATAGTTCAGGGACAAATTAAAACTTTAACCCTACAATAATAAGCGACATCAGATTGTAATGGGGCCCACACATAATACAAGTAGGCAAATAATGGTGAAATAGACTGGTTTTTGATGGAAGGATTTTTTTTTTAACTTTTAAAAATAGTTTAGGGAGAAAATTACCCAATTTGTCAATAATCTTCATTTTCATCTCAATGTTTTGAAGGAAAACTTGGTTAGGGTAATTGGTCTTCAAGTAGCTCTACCTTTTCTTATATTCTTCTTGTTCGTAGCCATTTGCCACTTAATTCAAGTAATTAATCATATGTAATCGCCTGCAAAATATGAAAAATTTTCTTGTCATCAAAACATAGTGAATTCAACAAACAAAAATTATAGTGCATAATAATTGAAGAGAAAAGCTTTTAAATGTGTTTAATAATTCATTTTCTTTTTCCTTTTTAGTATAATCTCATGTGAAACAAGGACACTATAGCTTCCCCCCCCCCCCCCCAAAAAAAAAAAACAAGGACACTATAGAATTAAACACCCAATCACTCATCATGATCCCAAAAGCTATAAATCTTTATTATCATTTTTTTTAATCAAATCAAGGCAACTAACTAAGATGTCTTGGATTCACTTCGTCCCCCTTCAGCTCTTGAGTGAGAACTTGAATGGATTCCGATACTTCAGCTCTATACACATAAAACTTGGTCACCACAATGAACAAAAAGAAGTTCAACAAGTTGAGCACCGCGAAAAACGCGTAATAGTAATCGAGATGAGAAGCATTGAGGTTGTTCAAGATCCATCCATGGTGATGATTATGATTGTTATTGCTAGTGATTCTTGAAACAGTAGACAGCAAAATAGTGCTGAGAAAGCTGCCAACACCTAGGGTAGTCATAGAATACGAAGTCCCAAGACTCTTCATGCTTTCTGGTGATTGATCATAGAAGAATTCAATCTTTGCAACTTCCAAGAATGCATCAGCAGTTCCCATGAGAATGAACTGAGGAAGCAAAATGAATATGCTCAGAGGAACTTGAGCTCCATTCTCAACAACCCCATTTTTTCTTGCCACACTAAGTCTGTGTCTCTCAGTGAAACTTGCTGAGACCATAATCACAATGTGGATTGTTAACCCAATTCCCATTCTCTGAAGAAGTGTGATGCCTCTAGGGTTTTTGGTTATCTTCCTCATGATCTTCACAAAGAAAACGGTCATACAGAACAACTGAGACTAACATGGACACAGTGATGAATGCTCCTAAGCTTGCAGGAGGGATATTGAAGTTGCCAATGCGTCTGTTAAGTGTAGTTCCTTGCTTGACAAATAAGGTATTGGTTTGAGCCATCATGGTGCTTGGAACAAATGTGCAGATCAAGATTGGTATCATTCTTAGCATTTGCTTTGTTTCTTCTACTTGGGTCACTGTGCAGAGCATCCATGGAGTAGTTCCTGAACTTGTTTTCACACATGCCTTGTTCAAAAACCTGCAAGATATTGCATTGGCTGAGATTAATTATAACCAAAACTACGTCTTAAAATAATGTGTGTAACTAAAATAATTTATAGCCAGACCGGTAGACCCGGATTCCCATACTAGAGTATTTATATGAAAATGTGTGTCGCTTCTAATACCTGTGGTGGGCTGACCTATTATTTTTTCTCAGTCGAATAGCTCTTTGCTATATTTATGGAAAAAAATATTCTATGATATAATTTTTAACCCTATCTGACAAGGGGTAATTAATAAAGTGTCATCATTTCCACCTTCAATTCTTATAAATTAAAATACGCAAAATCGTATTTCTAGTCTTCTAATTTTATTTTTAAAAAAATCATTTGATTTCTGATCTATTTCAAAAACTAGAAACCTTTCACCCAGTTTTTTTAATAATAAAATTTTGTTCCTTTATATATCACATTATTCTCTAAAACTTAAAGTGAAATATGACTTTTAACTATTCTGCATGAACTATTTACATGACAATAAAACTTACATTCAATTTTTAATATTTATAAAAAATTATAAATATTAAAATTATGCTAAAATTTAGGACTAACATTTTAAGTTACTAAACCCTTTTAATCTTTATAAAAATTATAAAGATTAAAATTTTAAAATAGTTTTAATCTTTATCATCATCCTATTTTTGAAATGTAGGAACCAATATTTTGAATAGTTAAAACTATAAATACTAAGTTATAAAAGTCAAAGTTTCAAGAATAAATTACAACCAAGTTAAAATTATAAGAATTAGGTTATAATAAATTGAAGTTTAAGGACTGAATTATATTAGATTCAAAACTATAGGAATCGAATGATTAATTTTCTCATGTAATTGAGTCCTAGTGGCTTTTTTTAAAAAAATTTTGTCCATAATATTAAGCTTATGTCAATATTCTATTACATGTTACTGATATAACTAATTCCTTTTTATCTTGGCCATGTAAAAATCTATAATTCATGCTAATTAAACCAAAAAAAAAAATCCTCAAGATCATGAGGAAAGAACCATGTACCTCAATGTAGGAGTGGAGTCAATTCTAAACTTTCCTTTCTTAGCATACTCTTGTAAATCGAGCTCATAAAGTTCTTTAGGGTCTTGCGGAAGAGGTACTCTCCATTTCCTTATCGCGGCTACGATAACCCTAGCCATTCTTGTGAAGGGACTCCCAGTGGGCACTTTATGCCTGTAAAATGGTGTCCCTCCCAAGAAGATCCCAATTGAGATTGCAAGCCCTAGAGTTGGGAGAGCATACCCTAGAGTCCATCCCACATTGTCTTGAACATAAACTAAGATAGTGTTTGCAAAGAGAGTACCAAAGAAGATGCTGAACATCCACCAGTTGAAGAAAGAGAGTTTTGAGGACTTCTCTTTTGGATCAAAATCATCAAACTGGTCTGCTCCAATGGTGGAGATGTTGGGTTTGGTCCCACCAGTTCCTATTGCTAGAGTGTAAAGGGCCCCATAGAACACAGCTAGTTGTAATGGGGAGGCTTTGTTGCAATTTGCTAAATCCTTTTCTATGCATTTTGGTGGCTTTAGGGAAGGTAATGAAACTGATAGTGTCAACAAACACATCCCCTGCCAAAATCAAATCCAACAATTTTATAAGCTCAAGTAAACTGTGGACATGTGTTCTGCTTCTGCATGGAATCTAACTTAAGCTATCTTGTTAATAGTCTAAACTCCATTTATTAAAAAAAGTAAAGCATTTATAATAGAATTTTATCTTCTGATAAAGTGGTTATTTGTTTTCAAACCAATACTCCCTTCATCTTAAATTATAAGATATTTTTAGACAAAATCTCACAGATTAATAAAACTCATTAAATACACTTCATAACCTTATTTTTTCAAAATAAAAATATAAACATTTCAAAAAAAATCTTTCATTTAATACTCAATTAATAAAAGAATATTGAAGAGAGATAATATAGAAAAAGGGTAATATTGAAAAAAGTATTATTAATGAAATCTTATTTTTATTAAAATTTGTTATATTTTAAAACACTTAATATTTTTAAAAATATTTTATAATTTAAAATAAAATAAATATTATTTTTTATTTAATAAGATATTACACCTTAAAATAAATTGTCTGTAGATTATGGTTCCTAGAGATTGTGATTATTATTACTTATTCATCGATTTTCAAACTTCGAGACTTTTGAGTGTCAGGGGTGCATTATTGCTCTAACCAGTATTGCCTGTAGCTACTTGTTGTGTGGCCTTGTGCATTTTAAAAATATATTTATCGAAGTTGTCGTTCGCTTCTTAATCAAGGGTTAAGACAAATTTGCAGTCAAAACTTCACGCGCATCAATGTGCGATCGCGAGTGGTATTTGAAAGGGATGTTATATCCGCAAGTAACGAGTTAAATAATGCATTCTAAAATTTTAAAAAATTTAATTATTATTAAAGTTTTTGATAAAATAATAAAATTATTCTTTAATTTAAAAAGTGTAACAATTTTTTCTCATTCATAACTTTAATTTTAAAATTCACAACTCTAGCACAATAATAATCATGATGGTATAAGCATTCACAACTGTTTTTTTTTTACTATTTTTTTCAATAAATAAAATTCAACAAAGATTTTTTTTCCCTTAACTACTTTGGTTTTAAAATTACAACTATAGTTCAATAAATAACTAAAGTGTTTAAGTGTTCGCAATTTTTTTTACTTTTTTTAGTCAGAAAATTACAATAAAGCTTTTTTTTCATTTATAACTTAGGTTTTAGAATTCAAAAATAGAATTCAGTAAATTACTAAAATGTAATAAAACTTTCTCTCATCATTTTTCTCAAATTTTCTAAATTAAGAAAAAAATTTTCAATTCATTAAAAACTTTAATAATAATTAGGTCACTTGAAACTTAAAAGATATTATTACATTTTATAGAATTGAATTGTCATTTTTTCTATTTTAAAAGGATTTATTTGTCTTTCTCCCATTTCAATATCAAAATATTGATATTAAGATGCATAAATATTTAAATTGTTTTAAATCATATTAACATAATTTTTAAATTTTAAATTCCTAGCAATAATTAATACATCAATTATAAATGATATAATTAAAAAGTACACTTTTTCCGTTAAAAAATAATAGCCATTTGTAATTGAATTTTACATCCTACTAAAATAGTTAATTTTTTTTAAATTAATATCATTTTTTTATATTTATCCTTCTTTAATAGTATGTTTTATTTTAAAATAAATATAAAGTGATTGATTTATTATAAATACTTTTAAAAAAATACATTAATTACACTTTAAAATATTAAAAATACTTTATATTTTTTAACATCTAAAATTTTAAAAAATGTTTTATATTTTTTAATGGAAGAAGAATAATCCAATTTTTAAAAGATATGTTAAGAATTTTTTTCTAATTTTAATAATTTTGAATTTTTTTAGCAGAATAATTTTGAAATTTAAAACTATATAATTAACCAACTCATTCAAACATATAACTAACTATGTATAATTAACTAATTTATTAGTATAGTAATTCGATTAAAAATAAACAAAGCGGAGGACATGAGCTCAAACGGAGCACAAGTGCATGAAAGTGCGCTATTTTATTCAAGTTGGAGAAGAAAGACGTACGGAGAGGTAGATCATGGAGGCAATGAGAAAAGTCCAATAGCGGCCTAGGTGAGCGTCTGCAACGTACGCCCCAAGGATGGGCGTGATCCAGATGGTGCCGACCCAATTAGTGACATTGTTTGCTGAAGCAACGGTGCCTTGATGGAGCTTGGTTGTCAAATACAGTATCAGATTGGATGATATCCCATAGTAAGCCATTCTTTCGAATACCTCGTACACTGATCAGCAAAATCATAATTATAAATTAAAAAATTATTTTTTTAAAAAAATACTCCTCTCCATTTAACAATATAAAAAATTTAAAGAATTAAATATTTAAAAATATAAATTTTTTTTAATCTTTTAAAGTATAGTCATTATCTTTTTTTTAAAATACTCCTATTAATAGTGACTTTATATTTATTATAAAGTATTTAATATGAATAAATATAAAAAAATAAGATTAATTTAAAAATAAATAATTAATTTATTAAAAGATAAATTTAATTAAAAATATTTTATATTTTTAAATGAAGAGAGTGTATCTTTATGATTTTAATAAAATTTAAAAGAGGTCTATTTGATTTATTACACATGCAATGGCTTTTTTGCAATTGTGAAGGAATACACTGACAAGATGCCTCGGAGTCTCTTTTCAAAGTAAATAACTACTTTGATCATAATTTAATTATAATTTTAATTATTATTTTTTAAATTAACATTTGATTAGTTCAATAATAAATTCAATTTTCAATATTTTAATATAATTCGAACTTGGTTTGCTTTATTTTATTTATTAATTTAGAAGATTGAACAAAGGATAAAACATAAACCTGAACATCCAACAAACCAGTGAACACACTTTGAATAAAAAGGTGATTTTTCAAGAAAAGTCTGAGTTCTCCCACAAGCATGTTAAATATTTTCTTTGAACCACAGTATAAAATATTAATAATTAATTTACGGTTCTCTAATATTGATTAATATCTTAATTTTTTAAAAAATATATTTTTTTATTCACTCTCATTAAATATCCTATATAAGTAATTTAATAATAAAATTAAAATTTTAATACATTACTTTTTAGAAAGAGTAATAAATAAAGTAGGAATATAGTTAAAAAAATAATTATAAAAATTACTCAATAACCTATATTTTAAATCAAGCAAGACGTCTAAAAGATATCATATATTGTGGTATAGAGGGAATATACAAATATTTCAGGAAATCCTAAAATTATTTTAAAATCTCAAATTTATTATTTAATTATTTAAAAATTATATAATATATCTTCATGTATCTATACTATAGTATTCTCTTTCATGGTATCATATTATTTTAGCAAACTATTCAAAGTAGTTTTATAAAATAATTAAAAATCTTCTCTCTTTTTTAGATTTTGATTATTTAAAAAAAATTAACCTGACATTATAAAATCTTATAAAATATTTTTTAAAAAAATTGATTTTTTCATAAAAAAAACTTAAACAAACTGACCTTAAAAATGACTTTTCGAATTAGAAATGTAATTTTTAAAAAAATTAAAAATAAAAATATTAAACAATTGAAACTCACCCCAAGACTTAGGTCATAAAAAATCTCACGACAAGACAAACAAATATGAAAACCGTGAGGAGAGACTATTGAAATTTGATTTTTTTTTTTTTTGGTTGTTGTTGTTTGATAGTGAAACACGATCAACTTGCAGAAACAGGCAGCTAGTGAGCCGTTAATATTCATCTCTGAAGTCAGAACCATTAATGATTAGCTGAGCTGAGTCTTAACTTTATTTTATTTTTTAAAGAGCAAGTGAGAGAACAAAAATGAAGCCAACCTTGTTACTGACAAGTGATTTAGAGTCAATAACCTTTTAATCTTGTTTATTTATAGAATAGAAAGAAAATTAATTTTAATTATATTTATATATACTTAATTATTTTTTATTGAATACTGAAAATAATATTAAAAATAATTCTTCTGTTATTATTAAGAAATAGAGGCGGAAAGTTTATTAAATTTTTAGGATACAATTAACAATATTTAAGGGTTTTTTTTATTTTCAATAAAACATATTAAAAATAAATTCTAAATATGACAAAAGGAAATATGTATCAATAGTCCATCTCTCCTTTTATATAGTCTTTTTAACGGAATTACAGCATATTAATAAACATTTTTTATTTAATTAGAAGCACATAATAATATTATAATAATTTTTTAATTTTGCCCTTAACACCATCATAATTAATATTAATATTATATTATAGTAGGGGTGTAAAGCACATGATTAATATTTCTTCTTTTATCATTAAAATTATTTAATTATTTAAAAATATCATAATGACACTCTTATATTAATACAATTTTTTAAACAAAAGACACCTTGTATAAACACATTAGAGAATATTTCCATAAAAAATTATGAGTTGAGACTTGAGATCTAGTAAATACATGAAAGAAGAGAAGAGGGGAGTGTGTGAGAGAGAGAGAGATACCAACGACGAAGGAACATGCTTTCCAGCGACCCCGTTTGGATCTAAGGACAGGTTTTCCTTTGAGATCGACGGTTCCGTCTTGTGTGTACTCATTACTCATCCCTTCTTCTTCCATCTCTTCTTCTTCTTCTTCTTCTAGCCTCTATCTCTCTCTCTCTCAATATGAAGCGTTTGGTGGTCTGAAACTAAGTGAGGGGCTGAGCTCTTCTTGAAACCCTGGATAAGGAGGAAGGAATATCGATTCCCCTCTTTTTTATATAAGCCGGGTACCCCTACTAGCTAATCGAGCGTTTTCGTCAACAGGAATAAAAAATTGGAAAATGACGCTTAAAAAAAGACACGAGTGACGAGACAATATGTCAAATAATCGTACCCCTCCTGGCTATAAGGTTTTTTTTATTTAAAAAAAAAGTTAAATGACAAAAACATGCTAAAACTTTTTTTTCTGACTGTGCTTAGCATGCTAACTTTATTTTTTTTTTGAATTTTTGCCTGAAAATTTTAAAAACTAAAACATTTTTACCCCACTATTAAATATGAAAAACACTGATTAATTAAAATTCAATCAAGATATTATATGGTTTTGCCCTCCTTTATTCTCACAATTTCAGTTTTTATTTTCATTTGTTGAAAGAAAAAAGTTAAAAAATTTGCTGGCAAACAAAATCAAAAACTAAACACAAAAGAAAAAAAATGCAAAAAATATCTTTAATTAAACTTTAATTTAACAGTTAACATTTGCAGTTTTTAATGGTAAGATAAAAATGCTCTCAAAAAATTTAAGATGTCAGGAGCTCCTAGAAAATTTTTTTAAGATATTTGTGCCCTTTAACCCTTAAAAAAAAGTTATTACTCCATCTTGCTTTTAATATAAAGTAAGGTTAGAGTAATTATTTTTTAAAATTTTATCAATTATTTATTTATAATGGTTTCAATTCCTAACCATCAATTTATTATCGTTATTAAGAAAATTAATTAGCAAATCTTGATAGTTTTCATTCATTTTTAATTAGGTTGATGTAGTTTATTTTATTTTAAGCACGTCCTTATAATTTAATCTATTAAATATATTAATCTTTAAGATTAAAATTATTAATGAATTATTAAATTTTTTTAAAAAAATAATTTTAAAATTTATTGAAAAATTGATTTAATAATAACATCTTTACATTCTTATCAATTTTTTAATGAAAATTATATATATATATATATATATAATTATTTAGAAAACATAACATAATTTTACAAATTTTTATTCATAGAAATTATATAATTAATTATAAAGTTATATAATCTTTTAATAAAAATATGAAAGTTCTTAATTTCATTTTTAAAAGAAAAAAATTTAAGAATTTTGACCCTTAGGGATTTTAATTTATTAGATTATAAGAATTTGATTAATATTAGAAAAATGTAATAAATACAATATCAAGTGCTTTATATTAAGGGATAACATATAATTTGAACCCTAAACAATGAGCCTTAGGATGATTTGAACCCTAAACTTATATTTAGTACATTTTGAGTTCTAAACAATTAAATTTAAACAATTTCACTCATATTGTTAAATTAAACTACACGTCTGTTAATTTTTTTTTAAAAAAATGAGGCTTGATGTGTTTTCTTCCAAAAAAAAGTATGTGAGAGAGAGAGAGAGAGAGAGAGAGAGAGAAATTAAGGCAAATTGCACATCAAGCTCCTTTTTAAAAAAAGTAATACTACCTCGGTCTCAAATTATAAGATATTTTTAAACAAAATATCACATATTAATAAACCTTATTAAATACAGTTAATAACCTTATCTTTTTAAAATAAAAATATAAACTTTTAAAAATACCCATCATTTAATATATTGAAAAGAGAAGGGATGAAAATTAATTATAAAGAAAGAAAAGATAATATTAGAATTGGTATATTTAATGAAACTTTAATTTACCAAAGTATCTTATATTTTGAGATGGAAAAACTTCTTCAAAAGTGTCATATATTTTGGGATGAAGAGAGTAACGTTTGTGTATAATTTAACAATGGGGGAAAAATTATTCTAAATTTAAATGTGTAGGGTTCAAAATATATCAAATATAATATTAGAATTCAAATTGTTCCTGCCCCTAGCTATAATTCAAATTTCAAATTGTATACTAACATTTATATTAATGATCAAAGAATTTAAAAAAAAAATGTCATATAGGACTGGAGATTGGAGAAAGTATCTAAAATGAAATTCAAACAAATGATAATAAGTTTCAAACAAATGAATTAAAAAAATACATCTAAAACATAATTAAAGACCGTATATATAAAAGCGTTCGTTGAAGAGAGATGCATTCTCTTTTATCATAAATCATAAATTGTGAAAAAATGTTTTTGTTTGGCTAAGATACTTAATGCAACGGATGATCTGATAGATATAATCAAAGATCATATCATTAAGAGCTATCCAAGCTGGTTGATGAATAAGTGAATTATCTCTTTTAGAGCCCCATAATTGACTTATTACCAAGATGAACGTAAAGAATAATGAAATTTCACTTTGTTTGTCCTAGATCGATCTTCAGCTGAAATTACATTTTATTGTTCAATTACTAAAATATGTTTCATTCCTAAAAAAATAACTTACCCCTGTTGCCCATGGCATTAGAGCTCTAATACTGATGATTAGGTCATCTATAGTCAACTCCTTTAAGGGTTGCCAAGAAAGTTTTTATAAGAATCTGAGGAGGAAAGCATATCTTGAGTCGTTGATTTGCACGGATGTATGTGGGAACAAAGCTACACTGGTTGAACTTCGTTCGAATACACACAGCAAATGCACACACTGAGAGAATGAGAAGCCAGGAAAAACAAAAGCCGTTCTATTCTTTTTTTCACATAGAAAAACTAGCGAGAATTGCACCCATAACCGATCACTTATGGGAACGTGTGGCAGATTCAGTTTCATAACCGTTCCTGACCCAAATTCAAAGGTTGGAGAAAATTATATTTGAGGCCCTGAGTAAATTGCACATTGAACCCAAACATTTCTCATAATTATGACAAACCCCATTCCTCAATTTGAATTTTTATATAGGCTTGATCCACCAAGGTTGGATAACCCAACATCTCCCACTCACACTTAGTGGAGAAGATAATGTTAGTTTTATCTCTTTCTCTTTCCTCTCTTCATACAAGGTGCTTTGCTGTGACCGCATAGGCTTGATGTCTTTATTTCGGTTGTTCGTACTAGGAAATCCTATTAAGGACCAGCACAAATAACCTTAAAGTTGAATTTATTCTAAATTAAATTCGTGCCTTAATGTCTTAGATTTACCAATATACAGTTTTTCTCATTATGACCAATCTGATCCCTCTTAAGTTAGTCCAAGACTCAAATAGTTTCTCTTATATGTGTAGTATTCACACTTATGAATTCACAAATTATTTCATAAGGGACATGTCTTGAATACAAGCATAGACGTGTATATTTAAGATAATCTTCCGTTCACCCACATACCCCTTTGATGGGAAATAGTCGCTTTCCTAACATGAAACCTTTAGGTCGCATCAATCATGACCATAGGGTGTATGTTAAAGTAGTAGACACTGTAACATATCTCCATGATAATGTCAAAGTCAAAGGACATCATTGAAAGGATTTTTTTCTTTCTGAGACTCACACGGCAATGAAGCCGGGATTTATTCACTTGCTTCCCATTGTAATTCTCAAGCACATGTGGTATGAAACATATGTTATGGTGTTACTCTTGCATGTAAAAGCGTACGTCATTTTCATTTATTATTAACACCATACAAACTTAAGTTTAGATATTCATTATACCTAAATCCAAATTCTTCTTTTCTATTGATCTCACATTATGTCAATTTAGAAGAATTTTTTATTTAGCTACAAGTATCATGGATATGGGGATCCATGACTCGATCCAAGTATGTTTACGGATCTCATCTCAACTTGCTCGTTGATCAAGGTGACATATGATTTATGTTTCTTCTCTACTATATCAACATTTTTATTACCTTGCTGGTGAACACAAATATCTCACTTTTGATTTGAATATCAAAGGCAGTTGCTCATGTGAGAGAGTCAACCTTATCAACCTATACGACATACTGGACATTGTATATTCTCGATTGTACACATATGGAAGTAATGAAGATTCTCATTAATATAACCAATATATTATATCAAGTTAATCTAGCCATGCCAAGAGCCTTTACATGTTTCTCAAATATCTCCTTAGCTATGGGTTTTGTTAAGGGATCTACTATCATACATTTTATGGAAATGTATTGAATAGTGATAACCTTTTATGCTATATAATCCCTTACAAAATTATACTTAATGTTTATGTGTTTGGTTTTGCTGTGATATTTAAGATCTTTGGTATAGGCTATGGCTGTAGTGTTGTCACAATGAATTAACACTAGATTTGTACTTTTATTTCCAAACCCAAATGTTCTAAATCTCTCAAGCCATATAACACCTTGCACTACTGCAGTACATGCTACAAACTCAGCTTTCATAGAGTGTAGGGCAATGCATGTCTGCTTCTTGCTACTCTAACAAATGGCCCCATTGTTTAGCAAGAAAGCATAGCCTAAAGTTGATCTCTGTTCATCTTCCTCTTCGCCTAAATTCACGTCGGAGTATCCTGTCAGGCATAGATCACTCCCTTGATAACACAGTGCATAGTCAACAATACCCTTTAAGTATCTTAAGATCCTCTTTACAGCCTTCCAATGTCCTTCTCCGGAGTTGGATTGGAAACGACTCATAAGTCCTATGGCACAACTAATATCGAGTCTTATACACATCATTGCGTACATCAAACTTCTGACTGCATTAGCATATGGAACTCTTTCCATTTTCCTTTTGGCTATCTTAGTTTTAAGACCTATATTAGGACTAAGCTTCACACCTGAAGCTACTAGGGTATCTATAGGTTTACAGTCTTTTATATTGAAACGCTCAAGAATTTTCCTTATATAATTCTCTTGTGGTAGAAAAGAAGCTTCTTAAAGCAATTTCTTTAGATATTAACTCTAACAATGTATTCTACTTCACCCATGTCTTTCATTTCAAAATTCAATAAAAGCCATTCTTTAACAGGATTATCAAATTCAAACTATTTCCAGCTAGTAAAATATCATCTACATAAAGAGATAATATTACAAAGTTCCTGTTGAATCTCTTAATGTAAACACATTTGTCTTACTCAATCATTTGGAAGTC